ACGAGCGGTCGAGTATAATTTATTACGCGACGAAACGACTGGTCGCAATTGCAATATTCTTCCTAGATACGAATGTCTCTCATCGGTCGGTAGCATGAGCGATGCCTGTGTTATTAAAGAGCGAGAACCGTGCAAATATTTTTGTAATGATTAGAACCGCGTCCTGTCAGCAAGGCTAGCCGATTACATCTGCATATTTGTAGTCATTATTATACATCATAACTTCAATCATTATTCTTGTATTTAACTATGACAAACTTTAATATATAATGGTGATTTGTTTTAATATAATAAATGCCATTCATTCAGATATTAATTAGTAGCAAAATATGAATGATCTCTCGAACAAGCTTCAAATATTTGATTATAATTCATTCACTCGGTTAGATAATGTATCTTATTAGTATTATATAATGCATTATGTATTGTTAAGGTAGCGCAATTATAAACATTTTTGGCAAATAAAAAGAATATCAAACAATGTTTTATGTATAATGTATTCTGATTCATAGAATATAATCATCGTAAATGATAATAAAGTTATTAAATAATTTTATATTTAGGGATATTAAAATTTTTGTATTTATGCGTATATATAATTGATTGATTTAAATAACAAAGTACGCTAAAGATAAATGCTTTCATATACGTAGCCAAAGTGGTACTTGTGATGAATTTTGTGCAGCTTTTATGGAAATTAAAACGTACAATCGAAATTCTTCAAAAAATCATGTAAAAAATAATATGATATTTTACAAAAATATTTGACTATTTATGGTTGATTGATTACAAGTGGATGCATGGTCCATACTTCGTACACATTGCGCGCTAAATGCTACTAGAGAAATGTATTGTTACATCAAAACTGAAAATATTATTATTATATTTTTTATTTTTAATTTTTTTTCAAAGCAAATGTGTAAAATGTTTGACATTTAAAGAAAAGAAAATTAGGAAATGTTATATAGTATTTTCTCTATATATTACTATAAATTGTTCAAAATATAAAAATTTGACTAAAATATTTTGAATATAATTATTTAAAATAAAATTTAAAAATATTTTAATTACGTTGCTAAAGATAAGTGCAGCACAAACGTATCATAATCCATAAATATTTGTAATTTATATTCGAGCGGCAAATAATCGAGATTTTGAGATGCTTGGTATTTGACTAAATGAGGGTATCGTACACGCGTGTTTGTAGCCGTCACTAATCATGACCACGAATATACATGCCGTAAAAAGCATAACCACTATGCAGGACGAACGATGGAAGGGGAACGTACGCCTGAGGGGCTGCATACAGGTCGCATTCATAACATCAGACAGGGTAATAAAAGTCAGCACCCTGTTCCCGCCGCTTTCTACGTCGCGTCGCCCTCGTTCTGCCTGGATACCCAGAAGAACGCAGAGAAGTAGGGAAAAGGACGTAGAAATGCGTAGGTGAGTCAAAAAGCGAAAAGAGAAAGAGAGAGAGAAATTCTGTGACTCGTATTGTTCGTGCAAGCATGTGGCATATTCATGAGACGTCGTTTTATATACTATATATATATATATATATAGCACATATATTGTATTTACATATATAGCTATATGTAAGTACATATACATATATTTTAATATGTTCAAATATTTCTTCGAAAATTTGATTGAAATTTAGCGATTTTAGAGGCAAATACTTTTTATAATAAAAAGAATTTACATAATTATTTTATTTTATTTTATTTAATCATGTAAACAAGAAGAGAACCCTCTAATACAAAAAAAAATACAAAACTTGAATGGACGAATTCTTAAAGATGTAATATAATTCTTTTAATATTTCGGATCCTAATGTATGTATAAAAACAGAAAATATAATTAAATTTATATAAAAATTTATATTGAAAATGGCATTTTTATAATTATTTTGTGCTTTGAATGATGATAGATAAACTAAGCTTTCCTGCAAAGCGATTGAAATAAATATATTATTATGCAACTTGTTTATCATTATAATAATTGCAGTAAAATAACAGATTTATTAAAAATTATTTTAGAAACGCTAAACATAAAACGCTTGAAAGAATTGATTTTCAAAGGCTTGATTCGCTATGTGACTAATTAGAAAGGCGATGTGATCGTACTTCGACAGTCACTTTGCCCCAAATATAATCCCCTGTTGTAAACCACTTCAAGGGTCACCCTTCCTAGTCAGGTCAAGTGTTTTCTCTCATTGCGTCGTTTCGTTCATCTGAAGGGTGCTACCGAAAGAATCGCAACTATTTCATTTTGAGACAGATTAGACAGATTAGTGGACAAGGATACACGACCAGGCAATATTTAGCGATGTCATCTACAACGCGACATCAGGGGGTCGAAGAATATTATTTTTTTTTGTCAATTCGATGTGTCATAAATTTATGGCAAATACAATACTTGAATACACAAAAATTTACAAAGAATTCCTAAACATCAGTTTTATTTTAATTAACACTAACGTGTAAATGTTTATATTTTTATAAATAAACGTAAAATTTAGCAGTAATCTTTTCAAACATATGTACAACCGCATAAGAACACATATGTAAACTAGTCAATACTTAGTCAATATTTTAGTTTCTGACACGAAATAAAAGTTATTTGATATATTTATCTTGAATAAACTTTTGAAATGGCAAAATAACAAATTTACAAGAAATTTTAAAATATTCTAAGTAATTAAAAAAAATACAAACTAAAACGCTATATCAGTTTTTGTAAAATTTAAAACATTTTTTTGACTAAATTAAACTTTTATATAATAAAAATAATATTTATCAAAAATAAGATAAAAATATAAAAGAATTATTTTAAATTACTTAATCTGATATAACAACTTAATAAATTTTGTTTTTTACATTTTTTTAAGAGACAAAACATTATTTTATTAAGAAATAAATAGTATCGAACAAAACATGAATGCGCAAAGGGTTAAAGATTTACTATCATGTAAGAGACACGTAAATCTTTAATACTTGTATCACATGTTACTAATTACGTGGCGCTTTGAAGTTTTAATGCCTTCATCTTTGTGTAAGCTCTTCTCTCAAAAGGATTAAATCGGATTCCAATGTTTAATCTTTCTCTACATGAATCTGTAAAAGTCAAAGAACGTTAATTAAAGTAATTCTTAATTAATGAGAGCAACAAACGGATCTCGTTAATATTTTGAAATATATTATTTTGAAATATTAATATGTTGTGTGTGTGTTTGTGTATGTAAATGTGCCAGACAAAAGAAAATATCACTTTAGCTATCATCAACTGATTTCTGTCAAAAATATTAATCGCGGGTAAGGTATTGCGCTCGCAACATATTATTTACAACATATTGCTATTTTCATTTTTTAACATAAATAATATTTTAATTTTATTTTTTAATTAGCAAATAAATGCTTTATTATATTTTTGACAGAAATCAGCTAATAATTATCAAAATATTAATCGCGTTTAAAGTATTAAAATATATTATAATATATTATTTAATCTATTTTATCTTATCCCCGCGAATAATATTTTTTGAATCCTATGCCCTAACTATGTAAAACTCGAATATCACAGTTTAATGTAGTTTTTCCTGTTTATTTTGAAAAGGGCGCGTGCTAGAACAAAGAGGTGTAAATGACAGTCTTATAGAAATCGACGAAATCTACACATTCACCTTATATTCCATCTGCGTAGGAATCAGCATTTTGAAGATATAGCCATTCAATTCAGTTTTCGTATTTCGTATCTCGAAAAGACTGCTCAAAAGGTCTTAGAGCAAAGGTGCGAAGGGTAATTTCGTAGATATTACCGTTTAATTTCGATTTTCGTATATAAAAATGCGTTTATATAAAAAAATGCGATCCAGGGCAAAAAGGTGCAAAGAGCAATTTTTAAATTATTAATGAATCTTAAGAAAATTGACGAGATCTACAAGTTTTTACCCTTTGTCTTATCTGCATAAAATTCACCATTTCGGAGATATTGTTTAAATTGTTTCCTTTTTTATCCCGAAAAAGCAGCATCCTACGGCATAAATGCAAAGGACTATCTTGTAAAAGATCGTAATTATGAAAAAAAATCTTAATTATAATTTATATAAATTTTTTTACATACGTTTTTAATTTTAGAAAAATTTGATTAAATGTTTAATTTTGAACATTTTAACGAGAAATTTCGGATCAATTATTTTTACGAAATAATTAGTAGAGTGGTCACATATGCAAGTAAATCTAGACATCTTCCAAGGTTGAGATACTGGCTGCTAATGAAATAGGAATCGTTATTATCAGTGGTAGTTAAGTTTAAATATTTTTAATTTATTGTGTTTAATAGATAGTTGGTGAAGATAGATAGCATTAAATAATTTTAACGATTTAAATGTATAAAATATTATATTAATGAATATTTTTTAAACAATTTTTTATATACTTATATTTCTACAATATATATTATGAAGTTTAGACATATATTACTTCTAAGCATAGCCTATCAAAAGCATTTATGTAAGCTGAGACATAAATATATTTTTATTTATTTTTGTGTAAATTTGCAAATATCAATATAAATAAAGCGAACATATTTTTCCAATGCAACATATCTTAAACAAACAAATAAGGAGGAAAAAATATACTGTGTATTATATATGATATTACGAGAAAATTTTTGTTAAAATATTTGTTTAAACATTAATTATTATTTCATTTAATTGTTTACATGACATAATAAAGTACAATAACTTCTATAAATTCTTAAGATGCAATACTCTATTCTTTATTATTTTTTCTGCTGATTTTATTTATAATGAATCAATAAAATTTGTATCTTTGGCTCAAAGCATTTGACATATGCATTTTTTAATTTTTGCATCTGATATACTTATTGATTGATATACAAATATGCTGAAGTCTAGCGCCATCTTTGATATACCCCTAGATATAATACCAATGTAAAAATGGAAACATACAAAACTTCCTAAATGTAGTCGACGATTGTCCAAGAAAGTCACACGCTCCATAAGAGCACGAAGAAACAGAATTCAACGCAACGTGTTCACTCTCAAATAGGCTGAAAGGCGTATGCTTACGTGGACAATAAAGATAGTGTGGGTTTGCATTTGATAAGGATTTGATATTTCAAAGTCCCACGTATTTATTTACGTTTAAATGTCAGTGCTACCGCGGATTGTGTGGATTCTTACATCATAGTGAACATGAACAACGCATCGCGTAAAGTGAAAAACCCGTTGTTGTCCGCTGCTGGTCCTGGCTTCTCTTTCGACAATTACGCGGAGAATACATTGCTAGTACCAGTTAGACCTGCGTCCGTTGAGCTCCGAGATGGTGAGTTTATTCAACGATAAGCCTTGGGCGAGGTTCAACAAATGTTGCATATTATTTGACCTGATAATACAGAAAATTAGATAGCAATCGATTCCAAAGTGAGATTTGTAAGGGAGTAATCATGAGAAATAATTCTTCAAGGAAGTAACTCATTGTGTTTCGCTTGCTCCGTTTTACTCCGTTTTACTGCGTTCGATCTTCTTCGCATACCTTTGTCAGAATGCATTCGTTGGCAAACATCTGTTATTCGGGTTATTCCTTCATCATTTGCGCAGTCGATATTACAGAGAAAAGTGACAGTATGTGTGATAAAAGTCCCTGAATAGTTTGCATAACATTTCATATATATTTAGATATATAGTGCAGTATATCTGTTTGATCATGCCCGCATTTAGTCATGTCCGGATTTACATAGTCGCGTAAAGCATATGTAGGTATAAAAACTTAAATAATGGTACAAAGATCAATATATGAGAAGATTCAGTCATTTATATGCTTTCTTTGTGTAATGTCTAAAATATTAACGAGATATTTAACCTTTAAAATAAGCAATTTAAACGAATTGGTATAGACAAATTTGCAAGAATCTAATAAACAAAAAAATTTATAAATATATTTAATATAAGTTAAAAATGGCTGTTTTTTATTAAATAATAATTAAATAGTAATTAAATAAATAATTTTTTTCCAACTTAAAATACAACAAAATGTAGAAAGTTACAATTTTTTACACAGTATATTTTCTAATATACATTAATGTAAGTTAAATTTTCTAATATATAAAATGTGCGTGTATGTTATAATTATATTTTATAATATATAAATTTATTTGAATGCTCTATATATACACTAAATGATATATATTTTAGTTTAATATACAATTTTTATGATAATTAGTTTTGATAATGATACTTAATTTTCTCATTAAACTTATTGTTAAAAACTTGTTCTTTCGGATCTAGCAGGCGGTCTTGAACCGTATCTTTGTGTATAAGGCATATCGTGACTATTCCTTCTTCGTACGCAATAAATTATTGCAATAATGAGGATAATTATAAGAAAAAGGAGTAGTAATGCACCAAGTACGATAGCTGCTATCTCTCCTTGTGATAGATTGTCCCAAACTGTAATAATTTCACCATGACATTTGATCTTTTGATATCAACATACAATCATACCATTTTTACATTTACTACATCTTATATTTATCATAAATTTTTATTAGATTTATGTGTCAAATTTACGAGAAATTTCTCGCGTATAAAAAATATTAAAATAAATAATGTTAAAATATACCTGTCACATCGATTGAATGAACATGCTGATTGTCGAAGATATCTACCGCTGTAATAGTAGCTGTTGTGGAGCAACAATTCGATAAATAGTAAAATGTAACACGATCTTTCGTGCCGCTTATAAATTTTGTGCGTAAATATAATCCATTCGGAGTTGATATTACGCGTTTTAAACCTAAGAAGAAAAAATTGCGATTCAATTAAATAGAATTTTTCGGTTTCATTTAATTATATGTATATAGGTTATCCATCCATATTGCCAAATATCATTGAATACCTGAATCAAAGTCTTGAACGACGATGTCAGCACTCCAAAATGTTTTTTCACAACGATCTTTATCTAGTTTACCAGCACAATTACTGTTGTAATAATAGTCGATTGTCGGTTTAACATCATCACCCTAAATAAAAATAGAAAAAAATTATGGATATGTATTAATACTAATTAGTATAAAATGTAAATATAATATTTGAATATATCGTAACACGCGCGTGATTTATCTATCGTAACTTGTACATGATTTATTTATTATTATGATTCTTATATTATTTTGTATTATTTTTTTACATTACTATTTCTTTAAATTAAAAAAAATTTATACATATATGAAAAAAAAAAAAAAATAATCGAATTCTTGATATATGAAAGAATTCTAGAATTGTATAATTGGTTATATTTTCACTTACTTTTATCTTGGAAGTTGCATATTTTTGAACATAAATATTTACAGTCTTCTCTGGTATTTCCGTACCTAAAATTGCCAACGTAAGAGTGTTGACACTAGCGTCTGGGGTATCCAATGGTACAACTATATCCACAGCCACATAATTTGTCTGTCCTGGATATAGCCATAAGCTGTTGTATAAATTAATAAAGATAAATAGATTTCAAAAACAAAGATAAAGCACAAATGCTTTCATATACTAGTATTAACAGTAAATACTATGCATAATTATATATAAATCGTAAATATTATATATACATCGTATATACATCAGAGCTTATTTTTTATCATAATGGCCAAAATATCCTCGTTTAAATTTTTCTAAAAACAAGTTAATCTTTATTTACCAACATTAATATATATAACAGAGAAAAGTATAGAATCGAAAGGATCTGAATAGCTCAGTTGGAAGAGCAGTCGCCCGGCAAGCGAAAGGTCTCGGGTTCGATTCCCGATTCTGCGACTTTCGGATCTATATTTCTCTCTCGCACTTTATTTCTTTAGGGGAATAGGGGATACATGGAATTAAAAATCTCTTGTAGAGATTATTCCAATTTTATATCTTGGCCGTGTCCAAGTAAAAATTTGGTGCCTTGTGCACAGGTATTTAATTCTAACGAAAAAATTTAGTTTCGTTTAGAATAACGCACTGTCATCCGCGATTTGGCTCTTATTGCCTATCTTATATATGTTAAATTTAAAGTTAATCTTTACTTATTTTTCTTAACTGATTTTACGTACTTAATTGGTTGTACATTAATTATTCTAAATGGCGAACTTCTCGCTTGAATTGCATACTTCACTGGAAATACGCAATTATTTGTTAAATCAAATAGCACTCTATGATTTGTTCCTGGTACAGCAATCAAGTTGCTTTTAACATTAACATCTAGAACTATTTTTTTTCTTTCAAAAGAAGCATCTCCAATATTTTGAGCAAATTGTGCTGAAAAATCTTGATCGTTATTTTGTATTTGCATCAATATATCATTTCCAGTGGATAATTTCATCTCGATATCTTCATTTAACGATGCAATTTCTGATGATCGCGGTTGAATTTTCTGTTCTTGATCCTGCATTATAAAAATTTTATTTATTTTATATTATAATAACTCTTTTCTCATAATAAAGTAATAAAGAAAAAAAGAGAGAGCGAGAGAAAGAAAGATAATACTTGTGTATATATATTTTATACTTATCAAAGTTTTATATCCTTACTAGGGCAAATATTTTTTCATTGAATATCTTAATATTTTTAGATGCATTTTGTGGAATTTTAAAATCACCATAACTAGTCAAAGAATTATTATGTAGAGAGAAAATGGAGTAATTTTTGTTTTTCGCGACAGACGCGATTGAAGGCAGTAATACATCAGAAAAATCGTTTGTCATTGTTTCAGCGTTATTTTTTTTATTTACTTCTTTTTCATCCACAATTTCTGCCGATCTCTCGAACACGTGCACAAACTCTCTCCCTGTTAGTCTTTTATTAATTTTAGAATTTACCAAAGGAATTGTGTGTGCAAAATATATATTGGTTTGATTGTTGCCAATATTCTCTTGAGCGTCCTATAGAATATATCCATAATTTTAATGATTAATTTTAAAAAGTATATTTGTATATTTTGATGATTATGTATGCTAAATGTAAAATCACATGCAAAAAGATAATATGTTGCTATTTAACTTATTTTCTTTATAATTATTGAATTCTTTACTTTTCTACTTACATCAGTCGTTGTTGTACTGTCTCTTTGTGTATTCTCTGATGTCTTATTAAAATTGTTTTCTGTATTGATTTCTAAAAAAAATAAGAATTTATAATAACATATTTCTTGAATATACAATATTACAAATAATATTAAATATTGTAGTAATATTAGATTCTTTTCGCATTTTGTATTTTATCATATATTCAATATTCTACGTATTATAATAATATTTAAAAGTTTGCTAATAATACACGCAATATTTCAACTGGAATTTATTTTATTTATCTTTTTGATGCGCGCATAATGATCAGAACTTTCGCCTGCAAAGACTTTATTTAATTTTCTGATGCCTACAAAAGTGAAAGCAATATAATTCTATTGAAGTTTGTCACGGCATTGGAAAGTAAAAAAAATTACTAAAAATATAATACAAAGCCATAAATATTAAGAGAATTCTAAGAAGTATATATGATCATATATGATAATAGAGAAGCATTGAAATAATTATAGTCATTTTTTCAAAACTACAATTAATTTTGTTAAAATTACACCAACAAGGATACTTCGTAGATTGGTTAAAAATATTCACTGGAATAATAATAAATTTGGCAAAGGTTCGAGAGATTCAACGGCCTGACGAGAATAGTGTAAATTTTGTTTGCAAGAAATCATCCGTGGATTTTAACAATTGCACATATACGTGTATAATCGAATGCGTATTAGTTTCTTTTCTCCTTCAGCTTTATCTTAAACGTCACGGTAAGAAACAAAATAATTTTTTATTACAATCTCGTTTTTCTTCTGCAAAACGAGTATAGCTAAGAATGCAAATTGAGCGAGAATAAATGAGATTGAGGAAATTAGCGAGAGCTGTGGTCAAAGTGCAACGAGTGAATTGCACAATCTTGTGTATATTTGTGAGCCAGAAACCGACGGACTAACAGTTGTGAGATGGCTGCCGTATTACGAGGAAGTTGGCAGCCGCACGGGAATACGTGTGTGAACTCAAAAGCAACTCGTGTTTTATTAATGATTAAATCGTGATTTTACTCGTGTAAACTAAAAGTGTGAGTGTCTTCTCTTTCTGATTCTAAAAAAACCTGATTATTCATTTATTATTATTAGTCATTGTGATACGTCAATTTTTCCAATTCTTATACACAGCTGTAAAAAAAGTAGTAGTTGCGTGACGTTGTTTCACTTGATTTCTAATTCTATTATTAATTAACATTATGTAGATAATAAATCGGTGCGCAATTTATTTATTTTTCTAATTCCTTTTGGAACACAACTTGAATTACAAGGTATGCATTACAAAATTGCCTTTTCCTTTACAAGATGTGTTTGATTTTTTATTATTAATGTGTATGATACTTCTAATTTTTAAAATTTTTTAGATTTTTTTACTGAATTTATAATTATATTGCATTTCACACAGAGTTTTTATTTAAATTATCATATTTATATTTATAAATGTAATGATTAGTAAAAAGATTTTGAAATTATTATAATTATATGTTATATTATTATATCCCAGACAGCACCAAATCCAAAATCGGCGCATAAGATATCTTTAAGAAATCTTTAAGATATTTTTTGGATATCATATCATAAGATTTCTTATATAAAATTGTCTTAAAGATTTCTTAATGATATCTTATGCGCCAGTTTTGAACTTGGTGCTGTCTGAGATATGATTATCGCTGTATGATCAAAGTTTATTTCGATGATTCAGTAGTTTAATATTCTTTGTGACATTATTTTTATCCGTTCCAAAGAAAGCGATTACGTCAAAGTTTTGTATTTCAAATTTCCCACCCTTGTTAGCTTCATGCACCACCCTCTTGGTGGCAGGTTGCGCGCGTCGATAACTACCCTTTTTTACGTCGTGTGTACATGCCAACAACATTATTCCTGGTCTTCGCGTCGTCTTGTCTGTTAATGTGCATATTGAAAGTGAAAAGTGTTTTCGGTGTAAACATCTCGTTGACTCGGATAATAAATTAAAATTGATAGTAAACGATCATAATCCATCGAAAAGAAAATTATTAAGATTTATTTCTTTGAATTATTTTAAGCTGAGAGTTGAATGACCGATTGTAAGGATTTTATGACAGAGAAGATAAATTTTATCTATTAGTTAATAATTAAAATATTTAGAATGAATGAAGGTATGAATTCTTGTGTGATGTGGCTACTCAATGTAATACGACGAATATTAAGCAAGCAATCATCCGGTCAATATTGTCCTTGGAATATAAAGGTTAGACGTAGCGACATCGTTCTATATAATACATCTAATAATCGAAAAATAAATCAATAAAAAATAAGTATGATACAACCTACAATTTGTTACACAGTTTAGATAAAACTTTACTTGCACAAAATATATGTTTGTGAATAGAAGAAGGTTGTGATATAGGGAATTAAAAAAGCCATCATTGCATGAGTAAAATAATAAATATTGGTGCAATATTTTTATACCACATAAATTAATCGCGTATATGTACTGTTATTTGAATTACAAAGTTAAAATTAATTAATTTTATTTAATGTCAACCAAGTATTTCAATTAAGTATATTTTTTCGATATATTGTAAACGTTGGCATAAATGCTTTTCATGAATGGATAAATGTATATGTGGAATTACATAAATATTTAAAAACGCATACATTTAAAAAATATAACTCTATATTTTTCTCGTATTTAAAAATAAAGAAACAAAGCTTGCGTGTGCGTATATGTGTACTTACTTGTGCTCGAAACTGCATACGTAAAATTTTCCAAAATTTTGATTATAATTTTAGCTACATTGACATCTATGAAAATTTTAGTATATTCGCTCAGATTAATTCCGTGCACTAATTTTTTTTTCTGCAAATACATATTTTATAAATTCTTTCTCAAAGTACATGCATTTCTATATTAAAAGAGATTTTAATGCTTTGATTAAAATTTAAATATGAGTAAAATTTGTCATAATAATTTGTCGATCGATCAACTTTTTTATATATTTATAATATTACAGTACAAATAAAAATAAATATATAAATAAATATATAATAACTATGTGATAAACATTTATAAAAATTTTCTATCTTGTTTTTCGAAAAATAACTTACTTCACAATTGTCTAAAACAGTTAAATTTCTATTATATATAGATAAATGTCTTGTTATCTTCATATTTGGACTATTATCCAATAAACAATATCTTTTATCTAAAATGTAAAAAATAATTTTATGAAATAATTATATAAAAATAGTTAAATGAAATTCACACATACATTGTATATAATTTGATTTTTGAAATTAATTTATTCTGACATGCATTGCTCAACATACTCTTTATAATAAGATCATTATTATTACTGTATGTCGCATGTTGTAATCTTATCTCTTATATTTAAAATAATTAAAAATAAAAAATAATTTAATTGTGCAATAAGAGCAATAGCGTAATTTGTAGAACTCATATACGTCAATATTCAATCAAATATGATAAGCAATGTCAATATTATTGATAATTTAAAAAAATTATTTACGTAATATCGTTACGTTGATATTATCATCCCCTTCACTTTCATTTGTGGCGAAAAACAAGAAAAGATTAATGTCATCAATAACAGAATTATTTTTGCCATCTGTTTCCATCTGTTCTTTTTTTATGCAGTACCTTTTAACAGAAATATTTTGTTTTTTTAATTTAAAAAAATATTAGTTTTTTTAAATAAAATTTTTATTGGAGTTTTATATTTATGTCCGCATATTAAAATAACATCTATAAGCAATTTATATGTATTTATAAGCAACTTTGAAACATGATAAAAATAACGAAAATTTTCTCTCTCTCTCTATATATATATATGTATAAATATTCTTATTATTAATTGTATTAAAACATAAATCTATCACATAAATTAATATAACAAACCTAGGACATTTTGCTTTCAAGAAATCACTCAAAATTTTCATCATCTGTGATAGATTTTTCGGAGTTTCTAATGGAATCTCAAATTCAGAACATTCAGTTTTTAGAGTAATTCCATTCAATTTCGTTTTCGTTTCGATTGATTCCGCGGTTCGTATATATATATTTCCTGTTTTGAGCATGTTCTCATTTGGTTGAGAAGTGTTATTAATTGACATGGAACTATTTGCGAACGTTGATTCACCGAATGCATTTTTGCGTAAAATGCAACTCACATAAATCACAAAAAACCAGAACACGCGTGATTCCATGCCGTAGGTGCAAGGAAAAGACTCGACAGAAAGACTAGACGTAAAATTGTGAGGCATACTTATAAAGTTTCGCGCGTCCGCGTAAGTTTACAAAAGAGGTAACATGTCTTCAATTACATTGACGATAACACAAGCGCAAAAGTAAATTTAGGTGTTAACGTGCGTCGTTGCACAATCAAAGATATCTCGTTATGAGTAAAGCTTGATACACAATAGTTGGATAAAGTTATAAATATTGTAGCATTTAATATCCTGATTATCTCAGATTAAATGCTTTCTGATTGAAATAATAGGATTAGTATTTATGAGATAATATGCATATTTCCGTGTTTCAAAGTTATATTGAGAAAAATTGATAAACATTTTTCTATAAAACAAAAAGTAAAACAATATTTTTAAGTTAATTATTTATAATAATAAGATTTTTACTACTAATTAGATACTTTTCTTTAATTAATATGTATTAAATAAAATTATTATATTTTATATTAAATATAATATAATACTGTACACATTTCTATGATTATGTATAACATAAATAAATCTTTTTATTGAATAGATACAGGCAACAGTATAGTTTTATTAATGTACAAATTGTTTGTTTTTTATAATAATTTAATAAAGAAAATAAGTATCCAAATAATAAGAATATGTAAGGTTTGAAAACTCTTCATAAGTTTTTTTCTTAATTTTGTGAATGTTATTATTAATTGTTTTGAATTATATCTGAGGATTTGTACCTAAAAATAAAATATGTCAACGTAAAAACATCAAAAAATAATTCAAAGTCTCTCGAAATGCTCTAACCAACTGCGTTAAAGAATAAGAGTATTATCGATTACCATTATCTTTGTCATTGGTTTTTACGTTCATTGCATCCTGTCTAATATTGACAATTCATGAATAACATGGAAAATTTACTTGTTGAAAGGAAGGCATTTTGTGGACACGTTATTATATCTGATTAACTAAAAATAATTAAATATATGTATTTTTAAATTTCTGACTAGCTTAAGAATTTTTCTAAATTTGGAAGTAAAACATTCGTAAAAATTTATTTACAAAATTTATTTTGCAATATATTTTTTTTATTGTAATAAATCATTTTTTTCTATGTTTTATTGTAAAAAATAATTTTTTTCTATGTTTATACGCATAACGTTTGTAATAACTGTAAGAGCAATATTTTCTTACATATATATTTGTATATAAAAATATATTTTCTTGCATACAAATATATACAAACACGTTACAGAATCAAATATATTAAAAAAAAAATACATTAGAAATCGATAATTAAATTGTAAATTGATTTTTTTTTTTAGATGCCGAGCTCGACAACTTCATAGGACAGAAGCCGGCTAATATTCAATCTCAATCTCCATCAAAAGCACAGGAGAATTCTCCCACGGATGCATCTTTTCAATCAAAAGAGAGTAAGGATACAGTGAATCAACCAACAAAATCAGGATATTTTACATCAATCCTTTCTTCTCTACCAAACTTGTCGCTGTCATCAAGTAATACCGACACGGGATCGCAAATTAATCAAACACCTGAGAACACCTCAAGCAGAGTGATACACGAACCTAATTCTTACATATCCTCTCAAGGGCATCATGGTTCTCAATCGGAAATACCAGGATTCTTAGGGATAAATCCTCAAGATCCTCGAAATACAAACTTATTAGGATTTGCTGCTTTCGGTCCCACAGATACTGTATCGACTTCTCCGCAACCTGCAGTTCCGCCGAGTTTACCTCAATCTGGTTATAGTAAGTGTCTAAATTATATAGATATATATTAATGTTTAAAATTATATATATGCATATAATTATTCGTAAGTAAAATTATATCTCGACTAACATAATTATATTATTAACAACTTAATATTATGTTAATTTATAATTAAATCTTTAATCAATTACATAATAGTCGTAATATATAAATAAATAATTCAGCGATATATAGAAAATACAAAACAATTCCAAGAAATCTTAAATAGTAAAAACCTAAGGTCAATTTTTTAATATTAATTTTCTAAGTGCTGCTTACATACGCATATAATTAATTTTCCTTCTTTGACTTATTTTTTTATTATATATCAAAGACATTATGCTTCAAGTGCATTTTTTAAGAATTAATTATCTTTCTTTTTTTAAAGCGCCTGTTTCTTATCGACTTGGTAATCAACGACGTCTGAAGTATGCACCTCCGCCTGATTTAACGTCCAACAACGCAAAGTCGAACCCAACGGCACAAACATTCTTCCCTACTCAAAATGTGTCTGCGCCGCCGACTATTTTAAATCCATTTAAGTCGGAAGGATCGGTACAAGGTAATAATTCGAGCGTACAGCAGACTAGCTCTTTACCCGAACAGCTTCCAAAGTTTGAGCAACTATCGGGGAATAATTCTCTTCGTAGCTCATTTCAATCCAATTCAGTTGCAACAGAAACAGCGTATAAGTCATCCGTAACATCCACAACTCAAAATAAATTTTCTGATAATTCTTCCGCATCTACGCCATCGCAATTTGTTTCGTCGTTATCAAGACCAATACCTGCGCAAATATTAGAGCCCGTAACGCCACAAAACACTCCGGCGAATATCTCATTGCCTGGCTTCCCTTACGTGAATCGAGATATCTTACCAACATCTAGTTTAGATAGAGAAGTGGCCGCGTTTCGGAACCCAAATCAACTAAATTTATCGTCGGAATTTTCGAGAAACAGTATTTCCGAGACGACTACAGAATCTGCGTATAAGCCGTCATCGATATCAGAGGAAACAAAAGCGACTTTTACGCCGGTATCAGCAGCTAAGGTGACAGAAAAGTTGGAAAATTTACTTGCAGAGCAAAAAGAAGATTCTTCCTGTGTAACAACTTCCGAAAATTTGTCAAACATTGATGAGATTTCATCCAACGTCACTACTGAATTAACGAAATCTTTCGAATCGCAGAGTGAGACGCCGCTGGCTACAAATGAGTTCATCTATGAATCATACAAGGCAAAGTTGAATGACGTTCAAGAGAAAACCGCTCAGCCTGGAAATGACACTTGGAGTGACGTATTTCTTGGGCAAGAGCCAGCGGCAGAATCGGTAATCTGCTCGAAAGTACATACAGCCGATAACATTCCGAATGTAACAGATATCCAAACGGCGGAAGTGAACACACATTTACCTCAATATTTCCAATTGCAATCGACATCTATGCCAAGCTCCGCTTTTTATGCAGACAAGCCCGCAGATCAAAAATCAAACTTAAATTACGTAGCGCCTCAACTTCTACTACTGCCTCCCACTGTCTACAATACGCCAAAACCAACGGAGCAATCGACAAGTGTGTTTTTCGAATCGACAAAACCAGACAAGTTTTTGAATTTTTCTCAGGAGAAAAATATAAATCCTTCTCTTAGTCAACCAAACCTCTTAACGCTACCTGTTAACGAGACCATTGTTGCGACAAATAATCTGCAGCAAGTTCAAGAAAAGTCAGCTTTTAGTTCTACAGCGATCGATTCCACGGCTTACTCACCGTTTTGGAATGCTGATCAATCTTCTCAATCGCAGGTGTTAAATACTACATCCAATCAGCCAATATATACTGCGCCCGATCCTGGTCTATCAGTAGCGCCAGTATTGTACAATCCTGCTCAATTTGCGAATAAATTGGCTACACAACAGGCTCTCTCACATACATATGATCAACACTCTTCTCAACAGCAGTCGTATCAAATCAATCCATCTTTGTACAAAAATACCAGTAGGTTACAGCAGTCTTACGCTGCTCATGAAGATAACACCGCATATTCTTCACCTGCAATCTCAATGGTAATGCCAATACCTGAACCAACAGGATCAGCCACACTTAGCCCTATTCAAATGTCGGTTAATGCACCTATTAATCGCACTACACCAGATACTGTTCCACCAAGTTTCCAAAATTTGGTAAGAATATCCCATACATATCATAATTCTAATTTAGAAGTATAAGACTAGATAAAAATATTGTAAAATATTGTAAAATACAAATTACTATAGTAATATTGTTAATTTTTTTAAATTTCTTTTCTTATGTATGTAATTAATTTATATTTTTATTTATGTCTTTATTAATAAATTTTTCAGTTAAGATGTTTGTGTAACTTGCATTTATATTAGTAGAGCATTTTTTAATCATATATTTTTTGTGTTTTATCTTGTTATTTTTAAAAATACATGGAAATATATTATTATATTTAAAAAAAATAAATCTTTTTTTAGGCTGCTGGATCTTCCGATAAACATATGCAGTACAGATCGGTATATCATCATTGGTTCTACCGCAAAGAGGTGGAGAACAAAACACTATGGCTTCCGTTCTCCATGCAGGATAGTTTAAAGTTAGAAGAAGTACATAATTCTACCGATATTACGCCTGAAACCATAGTTGCTACTGAAGGTGGTCGTTATGACGTTGATATTTTACGTCGTCAAAGAACGCCTGTGTATTGGACTGGTGCATCTACCGAAGTTAGGCGATGTTCTTGGTTCTTCAAGGGATCAACCGAATCGAGATACGTTCCTTACAGCGAGAGTACTGCTGCAAAACTCGAGGAGGAATATAAGCAAGCATGCCTTGCAAACAATTGGAATCGAAGAGTCGACTTAAATAACGGAGAATATGTTGTCTTCCATAGCGCAACAGTTCAAGTTCATTATCTACAACCAACTTCCCCCAATCTAGCAGGATCTTGGGGAAATAGTGCAGTAAGTAAACGAGCTATTTATAATCAATTTTATATACACACGATAAAAAATTTAAAAAAATAATTTAAACATATTTCAAAATATTTAATTGGAACATTTGATTTTATAAAAGTTATGCTTAATATACGAAGTAATGTAATTACGTAAAAATAATTTATATTGAAATTTTTTTATAGTTTTTTAGAATTTACTGTTGTTCAAATATTGTATAATTTGCTGGCAATGTCACTAATTAAGTGTTTCATGTTATTATATTTTATTTAAAAAACGTGCTGTCAAAAATTATTTGTTTTGTTATGTAATTTAAGTGTTAATATTATTAAAAATGCTTTGCTTTATTATTTACATTTCAGCTTTTAATCTTGTTTGAATAATATTTTATATTCTCTGTTTTTAAAATTATATTTTATTTTATACTATGCACATTATTTTCGATATACGCTGTTATTTTTTATATTACACGCATGGTTCTGTTTGAAATGGTGGATCCTAATATTTCTACAGGGATCAGAGGACAGTGCATATTTGCAGGGTTCTTCAAGTAAACCAAGAGTTGTTAAAAGAGGAGTCGATGAATTCAATATAGATGAGGGTGAGCCCGAAAAAGTAGATCATCTTCTATTTCTTGTTCATGGTATTGGAAGTGTTTGCGATTTAAAATTTCGTACTGTAGAAGAAGTTGGTAAGTTGTGAAAAATGTAATAAATTCTAAATACTAATAAATTAATTATAATAATTACTCGTTTTAAATTCAAAAATATCGTTATATAATTTTGATATTAATATTTTAATTTTTTTATGACAGTTGATGAATTTCGAAGTATATCACTTCAATTGGTACAGTCACATTATCGTACCGCGAGTGAACAAGGAATTGTAAACAGAATAGAAGTTTTACCAATTTCCTGGCATACAACGCTTCATTCCGAGGATACGGGAATTGACAAAAAGCTGCAATCTATCACATTGGAGAGTATTCCAAAATTACGACATTTTACTAATGATACTTTGCTCGATATACTTTTCTACACCAGTCCCGTATATTGTCAAACTATTATGCGCACCGTTGGAAGCGAGATAAATAGATTGCACTTTTTATTCAAAGAAAGAAATCCTACCTTTGATGGAGATATATACTTAGGTGGTCATTCATTGGGCAGTTTAATTTTATTTGATCTACTGTGCCATCAAAAGCCCATTAAAAAGAAGGAAGAAGAAAAAGAAGAAGAAGAAGAAGAGAAAAACGATGATAATACTGGTAGTGATAAGAACGGTGTAAGTAAAAAAAATTATTAAATTAATTTTAAATTACTAAAAAAATTATTACTCGATCTTATGATAATATTTGAATACATTTCTTCAACTTAAAATATTGAAGTAGTAAACGTTTATCATGTTACCGCAGGAAAATGATAATGTTGCGCCCATTAAACAAATGCCGGCGCCTGTTTTGAGAAGAAATCTTAGTAGAAAGATTAGCTACGTTGTAACGGGCGCGGCAGGAACTGGTCAGCCTTTCATACATTATCCGCAACTCAATTTTCATCCGCGTGCCTTTTTTGCTCTCGGCAGTCCGATTGGAATGTTTGTAACTGTTCGCGGAATCGACACTCTCGGAGAAAATTTTATTCTACCTACTTGTCCGGCTTTCTTCAACATCTTTCATCCTTTTGATCCGGTAGCTTACAGAGTGGAGTCTTTAATTAATCCTGAAGCTCACAAATTTCGTCCTATGCTGATACCACACCACAAAGGCAGAAAAAGAATGCATTTAGGTGAGTTTACAAATTTTTTATTATTATAATGTGTGTAATAATTCATGATGACTTATGAAACTTTAATATATAAAGGAAAATTTATTAATATTAATAATTATAATTTGTAGAATTAAAGGAAACAATGGCACGAGTCGGAGCAGATTTGAAACAAAAGTTAATTGATTCCGTGAAACATACGTGGAACTCTTTCTATCAGTTAGCCTTATTTCACAAGCCAGACAATCAAACTCTGGAACGTGAAATCGATAAAGTAGTCGAGGAACAGTTGCAGCAGCAGCCTGTTGTACCAGAGCAACATAACAATGATGATGGTGGTGCCAATCTAAAAATAGGAAAACTTAATGGTGGTCGAAGGATAGATTACGTTCTTCAAGAAGCGCCTTTCGAATATATTAACGAATATATCTTTGCTCTTACAAGCCATATCTGTTACTGGTAAATTTCGTGATACATTTGTTGCAAAAAATATATTATATTTATTGCACATAAACTTCAATATTATTTGATTAATTTTAGGGAATCCGAGGATACTATGCTCTTGATACTGAAGGAAATATATGGATGTAGAGGTATTCAGACGGATGCGCAACTTCCTCAGCAGACAATGTCAATTGAAAGAGTATCCCCTTCGCCATCTTTGAATTTAGCAGTTGCGTTGTCGAACAATGAAAGTAACGTAGGAACATCTGTTATGGGAATAGATCCTACAGTGCCTATATCCGGCAGACCTGTTGGTCCACCACCTAAGACTGGTTTTGTATCAAAATCATGATAGATGAAACATCTTCCCTATCTTACTCTTTTAATTTAAACATACAGTATATGTAAGTGTAAAATTAATCTATCTGTCAACGTAACAAAAAATTGCAATGAGAGAGAAATTAAATTTACTTTTGATTTGTATTTAAAATAAAAAGATTAGATTGCGTCTAAATAATTGATATTAAAAAGAAAAGATAGAATACAAGAAAAAAATCAAACTTTGTATTTTACAGTGTTCTAGTATTATTTATAACTTTTATCATTAAATTGCTAATTAAGATTTATATCCATATAATATTAATCGCATTATATATTACAAAATCGGCCTATGTGATCGATCCTTTTGACGACTTTGAGTTGAGCAGCATATTATATAAATGAATGATAAAGAAGTATTAAAAATAACTTGATTTTTTAATAATTTTTATTGTCTAAATAATTATTCATTGCGTTTATTTGTATGTTTATTATATGCATATTCGTACATACATATTATTGATACTTTAGCGATATGCAATTGTGGTTGTATGACAGGAGCTATGTATAAAATGTTGGATAGAGAGAAAATATTAATATTGGGACGAAAATATGCAAATATGAGATAACATGTAAATATACATACTTTATATTTGAAAATAAAAATATAGATTATATAAATTTTTATAATTCGTTTATAAACGAATTATAAAAATACTAATTTTCATTCTTATGTATGCGTAAATTTTAATAAATTACTGTATTCTTTTACATTCTCGCGACTTTATTCCTTCATGTAATTCGATTACAAATTTACGCACATGTTCTATCGCAAATCACCATTTGATTGATATTACCAGTATAAATTCCAAGTGCATTTCAGGTATAGCTATAGCGGCACGTGACAGAGAATCATGGAAAAGTTGGGCAATAATCTTGATATCGTGCAGTCGAGCAGTGCCGATATGTTCCTTAAAATGGTGTTACATGTCCAATTGGATCAGCGAATAGCGTCACCTTATCGCGCGAGCAGCTTTAGCGGGGTTAGAAGAAAAAAGGAGAATGCTTCGGCACATGCACGGCTATCACGAAACGCTAATTAATTGCGGTGCAAGCCCACCAGGTTCGAAACTGCTTTGCATTTTGCGTGCAGGCTCTCGTAAAACTACATGCCTGTCAGCCCCGGCGAATTTCAAGATGATTTATCGTCCTCGCAAAACTAAGTTTTTCGCGGTACTTCGTGGCTTCTCGGCGGTTCCGAAAGGCACCACCGCTTTCGACATGCAACTGTGGTTGCTGTGGGCACGATCCGTAAAGTTGACGTCGCTGATCGACTACTATTTTATATCCTCACCATCTAGTCGGGCTGACTTTGAAATATGTTCCCTTCAAATCTTTCGACGTAGGGATTTTTCGGTCGGCACGTTTCACGGTGACCCGCATACGTTATAATTGCGGAGAAATTAAGTGCCGGCTTTTACGTGACGGCGTTTAATACGTACCGGCCGAACCCATATTGTCACGCGAATAATCATGCACACGAAAAGTCACGTTGTACATCAATCTTTTTGTAATTTGTCAAATTATAACAAGAATCGTGAAACTATATATATATATATAGACATCGAGATGTAAAGTTCATGTTACTTCTCTCTATCACATTAATATTAATAATATAACTATCTGAAACGCACATAAATTTCAAGATAAATATCTTTATTACATACGTAAGAGAATCAATCAAACATGTATAAAAATGAATAAATTACCTTGCATTCAAATTATACCGTAAAAGAATGTTGAATAAGTACATTTACAATATATTCGAAAACTTAAATGATAAAAAATTTTATAGAAATGCAGTTTTTCTCTTCACTGCTTAAAATATTTTTGTAAAGTATATAACATTTAGGAACATTAACATAAGAAAATGTATACACGTATGATCTTATATAAATAGTAATTTCGGTAAAATTTATTTTATTTTAAGAATAGCGATTCTTTCTTTATTTAAAATATGGTATCAGAGAGATTATATAAATTTTGTTCTATTTAGAATAACCTATTTTTTCTTTTTAGAAAATATATACTATTCCACATATTACTTTCATACACAATGCCATTCAAATCTGGCTGTCTGACCATTCGTTATGCTTTACTACATTGTGTGCATGATACGTAGTCATGTTTCCCTTCTCAACATGCGGAAAGATACTACTTATACATACATTGCAAGACAGACGTTTACGCTCAATGACAGTTATATAAAGTGAGGTAAGGATACGATTTTACAACAAGCCCTTTAGTAAGAGTGATTTACATTTCGGAAAAACTCCACGACATTTACGATAGCTACTCACGAATTATTTATAGCATCTGACCATGGCAGCGTAAATTTCACAAGAAAGATATATTTATCTTCGTTTTTCGGAAGAAATTGGTAAAGTAGATATTGTTGATATAATTTTATTAAAATATTATATTATATACTAAAACACTATATTATATCTATTAACAATAAATTAAACGTATGATTAGAAGTCGTGTAACAGTGAAACAGTGAATTCCTTAAAAACTTTTTAAAATGTTTTTTCTCTTTTTACGATAAAAAAATTTTAATATAAAAAAGATAAATTTTTATATATAAATGATAAATGTGATTTAACATACGTGCATGTAAATAAAACTGACATTCTTATTCAAAATGTTGCAAGTTTTGGAGTCTAGAATTAAAAGTATATATATATAGGTTTTTTTAAATTTTTACATTTTTTTAACTTAGAAAATATAATTTATAATTAAAATTTGCCGCCTATTCTTTACTTTAGCAAACTATTTGGCAGAGTGCAAGATTCACGCACGCGCTGAGAGCTTGCAATTCCATTATTAGGATACTTTAGACCTTCTATGCACTCTTCTAGTAGTGTGCATAAGATGCATTTAAATAAAATTATACGATTCGAAATGTGTAAGTATGCGGAAAGCTGCTGTGCTTAGCGGCTCGTGTCGCGTCATAAAATAGTTTTGAGCGTCAATATGTCAAACGATATAACGCCGAGAACTTTGTAAGTATTGTGTCATTGTTTATAATTTTATTGTCTATAATAATATATTTCAATTCAATTTATTTTTATGCACAATGTATATGCACATAAGAAGCATATAAGGCATGTCAATTATTTATACATCGATTGTAATATATCTTTCATGAACTTACATTATTAATATATTTGCATTTGCATATTTTTTCTTAAAAAAATTTATTTAAATTATTATAGTAATAAATCTTTTCAAAAATTACTTGAAATAATATTAGCTGTGTGTCACAAAATTTAATATATGTAAATGTGCATATTAATATATGCAAATGAGTAATACTCTTTTCTTTACGACATTTAAACAACACTAATCAAAACTTAGGTGATTTTGAAATAGAAACGGTTGTAATTATTTATTTTAATGTTTTGTTATTTTTTATAAAAATATATGTTTACATTTCACTTTTGTGTTTATAGATATTTCATACGATACTCATAATTTAAGATGAATTTTGGTATGTCCGTTCGAGTATTCTTTCTAACTCTCTTAAAATACTATGTAGTTAATTTAATGTTTCTCCTAATATTCTTCCGCGCATCAAGCTTCTCTTTCAGTGATTAAATGAAGGATTTATTACGGTCATACGAACTTGGTTTATGTATGTCCGTATTGCGGTGCGTTTTATTCCACGATACGTATAACGAGTTAATGGCAACTTTATGCACGACTCCGATGACATTTACTACTGCTCTATTCTTACTCATTCACGTAACAGCCGCCCGTATTATCGTATTGTTTCCTGAAGCACTTTTCATTGTTCTTCTATTACGGAAATCGAGCTCGGGATACGAGTTTAGAATTTATCGTGCTGTATGTAACGCCGTGTACGGTATACATTTCGGAAATTTGGATTTTTGCCTATTTCCGTTCTAATTCGGCCGTCAGACATATGGATTTCTGGCACGTATCCATCCCCCGCTATATTTTCTGGAGCAACTCGCCGGTTCGTGACTATACTACTATCAACATGGCGATCGCGAATTCGAATTTCAAATTAATATTTGTTACTTTTTTTACATGTATTATGTTAATAATCCCGATTGTTTCCAAAAATAGAGAGAATTTTTAAACAAGTTTATACAGTTTCAAATCAGGAGAAATATTGTATATCATTAAAATTATTAGATCATATGTTTGTATCCAGTTTGCATTATTAATTATAAAAAGTATTGAAAACCCGTGCTTTTAGAATTTGTTTTAATTATATTTGAGGAAAAGAAATTAATATTATTGTTATATAATAATAATATAATATATACATTTAAAGTCTTAATTCTTTGTGTGTATATATATGTACTTAAATTTTTTTGTTTTTACAAATGTAACAATAGATCTTTTATTTCTTTGATTATAATTTAGATATGTTGGCAACTTGGATCGTGCAGTGTCAGAGACTTTATTATCTGCTCTATTCTCGCACATCGGCACCGTCAATAATTGCAAGATCATCAGAGAGGTAAGACGTTATTTCATCTTCTCCGCAACTATAATAATCTTTGTGTGTCAAAACATTTTCTAAAATTATTATGCAATTGAATATGAAAACGTAATATCAAAAAACTTGGTGACTATAGAGAGACATCGAGCAATGATAACATATTTTAGCCTTTATATAATAGTGACGAATGCACTATTTTTTTTATCTATATCAAGTTTGACTCATCAAAGTTACACCTTTCGCGGACGATTGTGGCCATTTACATGATACGTTATCATGGTCGGAACGCGAATCGAGACAAGCAAGTTTCTCTTTCGTGATCTGCGAACTCCACCCTCAAAGATCGTATCGTTTGCACGGAAGCCCGCATTAAGGCAAGCACTTCTGTCGTTATATCGATAATCGCGAGCAGTAGGTGAACATACGTCTTACTTAACATAGTTGCATTAATAGTCACTTAACTCTCAGAACGTAATATGATCCTTCTATCGTTTAAGATAATATCGATCTAATACATCGCCACGTGTATTTTTTTTAAATTAAAAGTGATCAATAATATTGACTTTAATTTTATTACAAAATTATAGTAATTAAAAGTAAGATAAAAATAGAAGAAATATTTAGTAAGAAAATTATTCATATTATATAAAAATGAAATAACAGATAAAGAATCTGTTGACACATTTTTTATTTCTATTGCCACTGAACATTATTTATGAGTATGTATAAATTAAGATATTTTGTCTCTGGATAATATTTATAATTATAAAATACTTATAATTTTAATTTTTTGCATTTTTTGTCAAAGAATATTAATTATCGAGAATTAATTATGAAGACAAAGCGTATAGTTAAGAATTAATATAATTTCTGAATTAAAGTAGAACTCGCAATTCGTTAAAAAAAAACTATACAACTATATACACACATGCACACAAACAGGAATTAGTGGATTTCTTTACTCAAAAGGACGACAAACATTTTGCATTATATAGCCATGTACGCACTTACATGATTGCACGCAAAAACAACGTGCAGACAAAGAGGCAAACGCCCACGAATGTAATTGTAAAACGTGCGGACCACGACAAGACCATCAAACGCTGAGGTTCATACACTTTTCTCCTTGATTCTCATAAGATTTAGCCTCTCACTTATTTCACTCCACCTTTCTCGGCTTGTTATATATTATTTTTCTTCTATACTGGTAGATTGCATGCACCACGAGATATACGCTCGTTGCACGGTGCGGTTTCGTGCGACGTAACACTTGTTCATCATCCACCTTCGTGTATACGTCACACAAAGTTTTTTTTCCTCATCGTCACTGTTCTTCCCTTGTTTCCTAGCGCTCTTTTTTCTTCCTCCCTTCATTAAGCAGCAAGTATATAAGCGATATGCGCTGTCTATCACGGAAGATATTATGTGGCTTGGGAAGTAATATTAGCAAGGTACGTCAGTCTCATTTTTTTCCCGTGCATATTTGCGATTAAAGACGAAGGAACAGTTAGCAGAGGATGGATAACAGCAATTAAAAAACTAAATTATTTTTATGTGTATTGCTTTTCTGATAACTTTTCAATTTTCAGTTAAATTCTAATTAGTATTTTAATTAGAGAAAAAAGCACTTGTTTTAAAAATGATTGGTGCCTGTATAGTTTAAGCTCGCACATAAATTACAACAGTAATATAATTTTATTTCTTTCTCGCAGCATCACTCATTAAACATTTTTAAAATATTCTGTAAGCTACTGTTTTATCGATTTTTATAACTTACATGCTTTTTGCATATATAAAAGCATGTACATATAATATAAAATTTACATTACATAGATTATTTAGAAAATCAAACATCTCATATTTAAATAATTAATAATTCTGACTAAATAAATTTTTTCATATGTTGTTTATAATATTTATAAATTTTTCAATTTATTCGTGCTTATATCATATTTACATTATTGAAAAACAACAATTTTATATGTACATATGTATGTACGTATACCAATATTGATGGCGAATAAAAAAATTCAATCACAGTACAGATGAATTTTACGGGGTACTCTTTCCTCAATTCGATAAATAAATATTGCCAGTAAAACCAAATTGTTGATATTACTAACCCCGAAAGAATATTCGCCAATTAAATATTGAAAAAATTAAAATAGTTGTTATTTTTTTTATATTACTGAAAAATATTATCAAAACTTTAAATAATTTAAAAGCTAATCTTAATTATCGCAATTGTTAATAATGATAACAGTAATGTTGAATGATAGCATTATATATAAGATTGATTCTATTTTAGCTTTATTAATATACTATATATATTTTTATTACTATAGAATAAAATTATCACTGCAACATAAAATACGAAATTGTAAAAAAATCAAAGAGGATAATATTCGGACAATAAAAAATATATATGGCAGGAAACAAATTCTATTAAATCGAAATCGATGCAATTACTTAACTGTCACATTTTCTATAATAAGCATAGAGTGGGATAATTATTTGATTGTATTTTTGTAGAAAATGTTGTTATATCTGCAATATTTTCTTTAATTATATCCTATAATTATATCTATAATTAATTATATCTATAATTAGAAATAATTAAAAATAATTGTGCTATAAATTATAGTACGGATTAATGTTTCAGAGAACTCATCATCCAACTTATTAATAATTTTAAAGATTATTTTAATGATATTTTTTTAAGGAAATCATATTATAGATGAGCATATATTATAATATTGTTGTAGTTGTATTATATAATATATATAGATATATCTAAAATTTAATATGTTGCTTCAGAATAATTAATTAAGTTTTAATGAGTCTGCAAATGGAAAAATATTTAGCGGTTAAAGTCCACGAAGTTTCTATTAACACGAGACAATTTTGCTTCCTGATTTACGTGACGAAAAGTAGGAAAAATGTAAGCTTTCACTTTTTCTCTTGTAGTTGTATATAATATAATGCTAATTGCTACTGCCAATAATGCTAAATGAATTGTTCACTTTCATTTTAGCAGGTTCAGTTTCAATGCGGTTTTTTTTGCAAAATAATGTGAACATTTAGCACAAACATTTTTTTATTTTTCTTATTTTTTACTTCAGTTTGATTTAATGCTGAATATTATGCGCAATGTCATGATCTGTCAAAAGCACAACATTTTCTTAATATCTTTGATATCGGCTAAAATACATTTAAAAATATATACATCTGCCTAAAATATTTGCTGACAAGTATTAATTAATAGAGTCATTATATTTATAATAGCTACTAAACAAACAAAAGTCGATACAAATTATTTTAAATAAACTAATGGAATAAGTATTATAAAATATTTTTATTTTTTCATTTATTAATGTTGTATATAATATGTATTGCATATTTAATATGCTTACATACATATGTAAAATCTGATTAATAGTAGAAAAAAATGTTCGATGAAGAATATAGCTCTGTTTTATATAGACAAGCTCGGTTTTCTATTTGAGTTATTAAAATTATTATTCCGTTTTGTGGATATATCAAATTATCATTGTTATCACAGCAATGCCATTGTCCCCGGTATCATTTGGGTAGTTAATGCATATCAATATTTTATGTATTCCGCATAAGCAGCATGGTTGGTATTTGCGTTTATTACCTATAAACTCCCTGCAGGTGGGGTTTGGACGCTGCGGGACGGATTTATGAGCCGCGCATTTTCCGTGAAAATGATGGTGAGACGAAAGATTTTGTGCATTATATTTTGTCATGGAAAAGAGAGAATACTGCAAGCTTATACATTCGGCAGATTTGCCTATTTGTATTTTGTAATATTTAATAAAATAATAATTGAAGTTCATTATTATCATTCTGCAATGTATTAACTTATTTTTGTAAATGTTGTAAATATTTGTAAATTTGTCTTGCACGAAGAAAGTACAAGTCAACTTATTTACATAAATTGTAGAAAAATTAATCAATTTTTTAAATTAAATATAAAAACAACATGATTTTGGATTCAATTTCGTTTGATTTACCGAAATTCCTTTCATTATTACCTTCATCAGCAACATTTTTCTTTAAACACATTATGTTTTTAATTATGCCTTTCAATTAAGAGAAACGCGAATATTCTTTAAATGTTTTAGTAAGATATTTGGAACGTGCTTTGTTTAAGTATTTCTTAATTGAATTTAAGTAGACGGAACATTCAGGTGGATTCTTTCATTGTCTGATGTACCAGGTGATATAATTAAAGCAATTCTGTCTTGTGCTTATGCCGTATATTTCGCTATTCCATTAATTAAATCCCGCTAAAATAAAAGATATACTTGGACATACAATAGTGATGTTAGATTAGTATATATCTGTATATACATATGTGTAATAACAATGTATAACATCATTCATACAAATATGCATACAATATGTGCGAAGAAATAATCTTTGACAATTATGAGACATACTCATTGTACTCAAAAATGAAGTGATATTAGATCAGATTATGTTAAAAAATGATCAGAAATACATACATCAAGTGTTAAGAAATAAAATAATGAAAATTATATTTAAGATTAAAAATTATTATACGAATGCAAATATATGTAAAACCGGGTTGCTTTTGAAGCGACGCAATGCGTCACCAAATTTGATAAATTTGCGGCTAAATTTGACATTGTGTGCCTTTTGCGTTTACGTAGGACGTAGAAAAGATTCTTTATCATTCCGTATAACGTATAGTTGGGTTCAAAGAACATGGAAAACGTCATAGGAAGTGAATCCTGAGAATATTTTTAAACTATTTTCTTCACGACGTTAGCAAAAAACGCAAAGTGCGGTTGCTTTCGGCACAATTGATCGTTACGCAACGTGTATGTGAGTTTCCTTATACGTATAAATATGTTAGTAATATGGAAATTTTACTTACATTAATGCTAGAAACTTTTAGGAATCCCATTTATCAAAGTTTCGCGACAGTTGTAAAGTTTGTGGCAATTTTTATTTTAAAAAACTTTATT